AGGCTCTCCTTGTTAGTTATTATTTGTATAAATCTTGTATTGAAAGTAGAAGTAGAACATTTTAGTATTACATAAACATATTTTTTCTATTACCTGTTTATTCTGTTATTTTATTTTTTAAATAAAGTCAGTCATAAATATTATTTCTATACAGATTTATTAATTATAAAAAACATGCATTGTGTCTGAAATTATATTAAAATAACACTAACTTTTGAAATGAAAAAGTAATTAAATCGAGTCCTACTGCCATATTAATTAAAGTGCCTTGACATTTACTCTATTCTTAGCACACCACCTTGCATCAAATTGAAAACTTTACAGTTTAGCATTTTTGATAATATTTAATTTTTGAGCATCATATTTTATACATAAAAATTAACACATAAATGCATAAAACTTAATAAAAAAATATCTGTAGCTTTAGATAATACTATAATATAATAATCCATCGAAATAGTTAAATATAATTAAAATCAAGAAAAAAAATTTAAAACTTTTAAAGTAAGGAAATTTCTAATAAAAAAGTGAGATATGTGATCACACGATGCCTGCCTCATCACCTTGTGTAACCAAAGCAGTCAACGACATTGAAATAAAAGCCTAAACACCAGTAGAAGTAAAAATAAACATCAGCATGTGTCTTTTTTGAACAAGAGTGAAGATGAAACATGACACCTTGTAATTTATGCTAATTACCTTTAAATATTAAAAAATTAATTTAATTATAATTTATTGAAGATTTTTTGACAGAATTTGACTAGAAACATATCGAAAAGCTAGATTAAAGTAAAAATATCAGTTTTTCGATGATAAATTTTTATTAATTAATTTTTTAATTTGGTGCTGGATTGACCGTGAGTCTGCAATTTATATTCGAATGAGCACACGTGTGACGACAGGTTAAAACTGGCTGACAATATTTACACATTAAAAATATACATTAAATTGCCTTCTTAAATCTGTCATATTCACCAGGAATAAAAACAATTTTCCATCACAAATGACCTTTTGTTTTTGTTCCTGGTGAATGTGAAAGACAGACTTAAGAAAATTTGTTTTTTAACGCATATTTTTAATCTTTACAAGTAGTTTGAGTTTCCTTTTTTAAATTTTTGAAAGCAGTATTATTGAAAATTAAACCTAATTTATCATCCTAAAATTTCAATTATGATTATTTTTACCTACCAAATACAGTATAAACATTCCAATGAAATAGGACCTAGAAATTTATTTTAATTTGAATTAATTGTTAAAATACACATGTGAAATGTTCTCTTCTGGATGTTATTTTTTGACTCATTCTTTCTTGTAAATTCTACAAGGCCTTTTTTATCAAATCAAATTTGAATTTAATTAGGTCCACAATGGGACAGCTGGGCAGTGAGGGACATGGTCTAATATATTCAGGACAGATCATCACCTGAAAAATTCCTGGGATTTTTTGACCTGTTCAGATAATTGTTCCCAGGTACTTTCTAGAGTAGTAGGCTGTCACCTTAACTGCACCACCATCTGGCTGTCAGATACAGTGATTTGAAGAAAGAATAAATGCTCTTTCAACATTGGTTATGAAAATGGAAAATTTGAAAGAAAATGGATGAAATGGGATGAAAGAAAATGGAAAAATTTTCCATTTTCTTTCATCCCATTTCTTTTCCACTAATTTTTTGCAAATGGTAACCTGGTTTGAAAGTTTGTGGATTGATGATTAATTAAAGCTACTAGATATAACAAGCTGATCTAATTGCCAAATTGAACCAGGAGCTAGATATGCATAAAACTTTTACAAATTAAAAATGGCTTATTTGCTTGGATTTCATTAATAACTGTTTTTAATTTTAAAGTTACAAACTAATTACAGTATTCAAAAATCTCCCAATCCTATTAATTTCCAATATGTCAATTAATCATTCAGCATATGAAGTGCAAACTGTAAGAGAAAGTGTCATTTTTTTTTTTTTTTAGTCAAAGTGATCATCAGCATGGAGTATCTGCATTGCCAGTGACAATATTGACATCACAAGCATTGTGGTCAACATTAAAGTCAGAAAATGCACTCTTAGTCATGTCCAATTTTTGTACTTCACCTTTGGGCTTGTATGATTTTGGGAAGCTGGAAGCAATGTGCTTTGTATTAAATAATATAATATACAGTAGATCCCCCTATAAGACAGTAGATACGTTCCGTTCTTTATGAATCAATTTTGTAGGAATCATAGTTTACGGATTACGGCTGTTTGAAAGGTTTTCTTTCATAAAATTAATCGATTCTAGACTAATTCGACTCAACATTTCCAAAATACGTATATTTTTTTGAAAATAATCCGTATAAACTACGTTATAAACAAAAAATTGTAGGATTGCTTACCGAGTGTGTACCGTTCGACTACGCCCGTTGCTAAAGCTTGGTTTCGTCGCAGAACAGCGCATCAAATCGTGGCCGCGATTTCTGATATTATTTTTCTGCGAAAACTTTGTTGACCTTTGGAGACATCCTTAATATAAATAATTTTTATGGCCGTTAAATAAGAAATGTTTCTTTCACAAGAAATGTATAAAATTACAGTACTGGACAGACGATAGGTCGCACTAATTTGAGACTTCTCCAAAATGAAGAACAGATAATACAGATGCTCTTTTCTGACAACAGATTAACTCACTGTCATGGCAACAGCAGGTATTTATAACATTCTTAAAGATTGTAATGACAGACATGCAGTCCTTACTACCGTATTTCCCCGAAAATAAGACATACTCTGAAAGTAAGACCTAGCAAAGTTTTTTTTTTACTCGTAAAGGTCATCGACAGATGGTTGAAAGTGGCCGTTGGCTTTTTGAAAGTACAGCCACTGATTGGTCAGCAGACAATCACATAACACGGCATGATTTGCATACGACTATGGCTTGGGAATCACAGATTTGCATAATGTTATGGCTGGTGATCACTAATTGGTTGGCCGGGAATCACACCACATCACATTTGCACAGTTCTACAGTTCAGTAAGCACTAATTGGTCATCAAGCCCGATGTTGACGCTATAAAAAGGTTAAGTTGAAGCGAGAGTGGAAAGTCCACTCCAGCACTTCGGTTTTATTTAAGTTCAGTTCGACATGACAGGATATACGTCACTCTCGTCTAAGTTCAACTTGGGAATTTTTTTTGTTCAACAATAAATGTGAATTCTTCTTCACGGAAAAATAAGACATCCCCTGAAAATAAGACCTAGTGCATCTTTGAGAGCAAAAATTAATATAAGACACTGTCTTATTTTCAGAGAAACAGGGTATGTGTATATATCTTTTGTAAATATTTCAATTTATTTTGTTATTCATTTAGAATGGCGTCCTTAGTAAAAAAAAATCACCAGTTGAAAGTTTTATACTTATATGATACTACATATACACTGAAATACTTTAAAATAGATTAGAGTTCTGCAGAAAAAACTTGACACTAAGTTTAAATCAGCATTGATCAAAATTGGTAAATTTGAAAGATCTAGAGAATTGAAACAACATTAAGGTACTGAAATTAACAATGACAAAACTGATAAATATCCTATTATGACTCAATTTTTTAATTATAAATAATGCAATTTATTTATTTATTACAGTGCCTAAAAGTAAACATGGACTTATTTTTATCACCAGCATTTTACATTAAAGTTATTTAATTTCCATAGTTAAAGATTTATATACAGAAATATTCAGTTATTGAAATTTTAAGAGATTTTAATTAATTNTAATTATATCTTAATATTTAAATACTGAGACAGAATATAACTATAGATTATTAAGAATAACAAGGTGCAATTATAGAGAATAGGTAGATTTAATGCACTATCACTTTTATAAATTAAAAGATACTTAATTAAAACAGAATTTATACTTAAAGAGATTTTTAAACATTTTACTAGCTTGCTTTTCTTACAAATGACAATATATTGAAATTTTAATTCATCGTGTTTAGAATTTTTTGCACCACTCAGGAATGTTTAGATTTGTAATAACTTAATTTAAAAATTTAATTCATTACTATTTATTATTTATTTAATGTTTCTTAATAATAAAATTTGATATAAAAAATAATGTACTTTATAGTCACATAGAAACTTCATTTTTGTAGTCACAATTACTGGAATTTCTGGGCGATGTAGCGGTGTACGTTTATAGTTGACACAGTTGGTTTCATTTTTTATTTTCGACATTATCTCTAAAGTGAAGTTATTTTCATTTTTGAGTTATTTAGTAAGTTGAGTGTAATTAGTTTATATTAATCACCTTTATATAATTTATTATATAAATGGACGTAATAAAATATTTTTCCTGTTAGAGCAAAAGTTACAATAGAAACAAGTATCAATGCTTGACCTTGATTCAGCCGATTCATTATGTTAGTTACATAAAAAAACGCAAGCTGTATAATATAATGAGTTCAGTTTTAATGGATAAAAATACGCTTGTCTTGTAGTTTAGAATTTAAGTTGATTCTTTATATGCATACAAAATTTATTTTATAATTATTTTAAAATGATTACAACAATTATGCACGATGATCATAGATGACATTGTAACTAGATTGAATTCACTAATATTTCAATTTAAATTGATCCCAATTCAAATACATTTTCCTAACAAGAATGCAATTTCTAAAAAATATTATTAAAGGTGATCTGTGATCTTACTTATTCATATGTTCTTTGTAACAGTTTAATTTTAGCCTGAACTAAACTGGAGATTTAGTTCAGACAAACTAAACTGTCACAAAGAGATTAGATGTAATATAAATGTAATAATTCGATTAATATCAAAACCAGAAAATGAATGTTTAATGAATCAGCTCAATATAAATTTACAGGACAATGTTATGTTTATCTTACAGGACAATGTTATGTTTATTTATCAGGACAATGTTATGTTTCAGTATATAAAATCACATTAACAATTATCTTTAGAGTTTTAAAATAATCAGATATAGAATTGATTCATATACACTATACCTTGCTACTTGAACTGTATGATCTAAGGACACTATGCAGCTGCTTATCCTATAGGTCTAATAGCAAGCAGTTTGACTTCACTGGGATAGACTTCATTGCCTTTGTAATGTCCTTGAATTTTTCATTAATGACATGATGTCTTTAAAAATTTTTGCTTCTCTTTCAATTTTTAATCTGTAAACTTAAATATTGTGAAGAGAATTATGTTGTGATTTATATATAAATCATTATTTGTAATTTACAGGATGTTGAGATTTTTTAAAATAAAAAACAACCATAAAAAATGTTTAAATTAACTGAAATTAGAAAACAGTTTAAGTGATGGTATTTAACAAAATAATAAAGGAGCATATCTAAAAAAACATTACTTTAAACAAAACAATTTTTCAATTTTCTGGTTATTACATAATTGAATTGCTATTTAGTATTACATATAATCTGATGAAGATTAAAGTTTAGAATTACAGTAATTACATAAATCAATCAATTTCTAATATGTATTTTAATGCCAGCTAAAGCAAAATATATTCTTACTTTGCATAAATGAGCATTTTATGGAATATTCTTTCTGACAGTCAAAATATAAATAATTAAATTTCATTTACTTAATTATTTACATTTTAGCTATAAACAACAAAAAGTTTTTGTTTTACTTTATCAAAACACTAGTCACAGCAAAAACAATAATGAACTGAAATCATAATCAGAATCTTTAATCTAAAATCAACATCTAAAATAACACTGATAGTTTTAGGTTTCTTTTCAATTTTATTTTCTCCATATATTTTTCTAAAAATATATTAAATTTAACATTTTTTATTTTATATAATCTGACATTTAACATGACACACATTCAACAAACAACATCTTAGTTAACAGAATAAAAATATTTTTTAATCTAGTTGGGAAAGTTATATTTAATTTTAGGTCATCAATTTGTAATTATGGCAATAAATAAATAAAATTTTGAAGCATTTATCAAATAAGCTTTTACAATAAATAAACCAAATTATCTAAGTTTTGTTTATTTTTACTAATAATTAAACACATGTTTTAGTCATATCAATTTGTTTTATCTATCTTTACAAGTATCAATAATCATCCATATTACTACTCAATTTCTCTAACAGTTTTGAAATATTTTAAAGAGGAGTTGAATCATTTTGTTGTAAATCCCAATAAAAAATCTTAATGAATATATGCCAAGTGTTTGTTAATATTTCCTATATTCTAGATCAGGGGTGTCCAACCTTTTAGTCTCTCTGGGCCACATTGGAAGAAAATATGGAGTTTTGGGCCACAACTATCTTAAGAGCAAAAAGAAAAAAGGAAAAATATATAATTTTCATACCTAAAGTTCATTTAAAATTTAGAACTTTTCTTCATTATAAATACAAAACATGGAATTCGTTTAACATTATTTTATACATTTTATGCATAAGTCCAAATCATAAAACTAATGTGATATTTGTCATTGTTGTTGAGAAACTAATGCGTCAATATCTGGTTTGATTGAAGTAGTTGCAATTCTCAGGCAGCCTTCAAGGTGTTCATCCGATATTTTAGTTCTAATTTTACACTTAGTATTCTTCATTCTTGAAAATAGTTGTTCACATATGTAGGTGCTTCCAAACAATGATGACATGAATAATGCATGACTGTGCAGTGTGGGATATATGTCTCTGGGTAGATATGATTTATAAAAGTCAAACAAAGAGACATGATGAAATTTCTCTTTAAGTTGGATGTCAGATTGCAACTCTATGCATTCCATTTGAAAAGTTGCTGGCAGCATTAGTATATGACTGTAAATGAAGTCACAAAAATACAAAAATTGAAATTATTTTTCCGAAAATCCATTTTCGAATTCTTGTAACTAATCGAAAAGTAAGGCCTGCATATTTTTTCCCCTTTTTAGGAATATGTTTGAACAATGTGTTGAAATGCAAGAAGTTGTTTGCATTTAATTGAGCCTGCCATAATTTCAGTTTTACCTGGAATGCGTTTATGATTTGAAACATTGCACTAATAAGTTGGTTTTTCCCTTGAAGATGCATGTTTAAGTCATTTAAATGACCAGTCAAATCTACCAAAAATGCTAAATCTGCAAGCCAGTTAGCATCGTCAAGTTCTGGCACAGATTTTGCTTTCGATGTCATAAAAGATTTGATTTCATTAAGTAGGTCATAAAATCTTTTTAACATTTGTCCTCGACTGAGCCACCTTATTTCTGCAAAATATACGATATTGCTATACTCGGCATCAACATTTTTGAGAAATTCTTGGAACTGATGATGATATAATCACCGGGCTCTTATAAAATTCACAGTCTTGACAACGATTTGCATAACATGATCCATTTTCAAAGCTTTTGCGCATAAATTTTCTTGGTGTAGTACTTCATCAAATGAGAATTTTCGACATCAATGACATAGTTTTTTATTAATTTTACAAGCCCTTCTTTTTTACCTATCATAGCTGAGGCCGCATCTGTAATTATACCAGATATATTGGAAAGGGATAAAGAAAATCACATTAAGGTTCTTTTCACTGCTTCATATAAATCTCTTGATTTTGTCATGTCTTTTAATGACACTAATGAGAGCATTTCTTCAGTTACACTATATTCGTCATTTATACCTCTAATAAAAATGGTGAATTGAGCCGTATCAGTAGCGTCAGTACTTTCATCCGTGGCCAAAGAATAAAATATAAACCCACAGGGTTTACTTTTCAAATTGCTTTTGATATATTTCCTGAGATTGTCAATTCTCCTTGCAATAGTTTGATGAGACAAACTGATTTTAGAAATATCACTTTTCTTGTATGGACAAATTATATCTGCAACATTTTCCATGCATTCCTTAATAAACTTGCCATCAGAAAATGGTTTTGATTTTTTGGCGATTAAATTTGCGACTACAAAACTAGCCTTCACAAAGGAGTCTGTCTAAGTTGTAACGTTGCTAAAAACCTTTTGTTGAGATATAAGACCTTTTTTCAGTACCATTACTTGGTCTTAGCAACACACTCCTTGATATGCATCGAATTTGGAAGCGTTTTTGTGAATAATGCGTTCTCAAATTATACTCTTTGAATACAGGTATTGAAACTTGACAAATTAGGCAGTGCACCTCACTTTTCACCTCAAGAAAAAAAATAGTCCTCTGTTCATTTCTCATTAAATAACCTTCTTTCATCGATATATTTCCTTTTCTTAGAAACAGTTTTTTGTTGAGTCGTAGAAGCCATGCTGACAGGTAAATTGACAATACTGTAATTAGTTATTTAAAAGTAATTAAAAAAAGGTTAGATTTACCTTAGGTAGCCAAAATGGCGGCGCTTTGGTTAGGTTCATTTTGGTTAGATTAGCTACATTTTTAGTAGGCATTTCCTTTTTTTTTTTATTTATTTTGTTCAAGAAATACTGTGAATCAATAACTAGTGACGTTTGCACTCAGCAGTTCCCCTCTGGGAGGACTCCTTCTGGACCATGAACAGTCGGAAGCACGGCCATTTTGGCTACCTAAGGTAAATCTATCCAAAATAATATATATTTACTTACTTGTCTTAAAAAGAAACAACTATTAAATAAATTTTAAAAATAATATAATTTGTTGTTTCACAAATAAAAGCAAGCATAATGAGTCAAGTTTGAGTGGAAACGAAAAAAGAACAAATAAGTGTTGCCAGATGTTTTTAGTATTTGTAGCCAAAAATTTTCTAAAAAGTAGCCATCTCAATAGTACTATATAAGTATAAAGGTTCGCAGCTTTGTTAAACTTCTTTTTTCAGGTTTATGCGATTGAAATAAATAAAACATTAAAAAATTGTCAGTTTTGTTTGATTTATTGGGCCGCATTGCAACTTGCCTTGGGCCGCATGCGGCCTGCGGGCTGGACATCCCTGTTCTAGATGGTTTCTTCATTCCTGAATGTATTGAAAGTTTCATTTAGTATTATAGTCTGTCTATGGAAAGAATCAATTTGAGTTGAGAGTTAATCAATGAGTATCGCTTAGTTGTGGCAAGTTACTTCTGGTTTCTTCCTCATTTATTAAACATGCCACTCCCATTATAAACAGTATTATTGGAAGCTTCACATTCTGGTACTGGAACTACAGTAGTGGTACAGTACTGGTACTGGTACTACAATAGTGGTTAAACGCACGATTCTTTACAGTTAATGAATGCTATAAAATATTAACATAATTATTAATAAGAAAAAAGTCACTCTGCCATCTAGTGAGAGAAAATAAAATTCACATATTGCCTGACATATTAAGTGAAAATTGCTGACATCATTAGGGCATGTGCTAATTGGTTTAACTGAAGCGACATTATGCACAACATTGCTCTCAAGCTGATTCTTTCCATAGACATATCCTGTGAAAATTGCTAGAACACAGTAATACAGATTATTTAAACTTCTTAACAACTCTAATTCAAATAGAAAAATAAAACATAACATGTTTCTCAAAAATAGGATCAATATAAAATTGTTATAAATATTGATAAATATATAAATATAATAATGTTAACTGTTCCAAAACAATATTCCAACATCTATTGTTATATTATACAATCATATAGGTTATAACTAGGGTTTCCCGAATGAGATCCCAGTTGTTTTTTTTTAAACTGGGAAATTCTTCTCATCCCAGGAAATCCCGCAAATTTCTTAAAAATTCACTTTTTTCTTATTTTGTGCTAAGGTTGAGGAGATTTTGCAAATAGAAAGTATAATTAACTCAAACTGTTAAATTAATAAATACAAATATATTCTAAGTCTATTTATTAGTTTTTAAAATTTTTGTTTGTTATAGCATGTCACAAATGGTCATAATCAGTACATAGCTTATTTGTGGCAGAACACTGAAAATTCTTTACTTATCAGAACCCATAATATCTGAAACAATTGTGCTTATGTTGTCTTAATATATATCTTATACAGCATTATTAATATGATTTTGGAGGTTGCAGAATGTATTAAATTACTTTAAAAAATGAAAAATAATTATATCATTTGATTTCATTATGTTTTGTATATCTTAAAAATCAATTCTGCCAGGATTTCCCAGGATTCCAGGAATCAGTTCACTTTTATCCTGGAATCCCAGGACAAGCAAAAGATCAGAAAATGAGAAATCCTAGTTATAACTACACAAAATACTTTTTATATA